TCTTTCTGCACTCTGACTCACCCCCGCCCATTTTTGTCCGCCTGTTACTGTCTTTCTGGTTCTCTTCTGTTCCGCGCTCTAATCTCAGTCACTTTGTTCCGTGAATTCATTAAGATACGCGCAGTCAAGGATCAATGTTTGCCATCAGAACCGCTCCCAGTCTGCACTGCCACGCACAGTGAATGATTTCAGCTGCACTGCATAATGGGAGAAAAAAGGAGCAACGAAATTGGTCAAGAACACGGCCGCTCACGGGTATTTATTGCAATGAATTTAGCGGAATGAATCTAACTGTAGTATTAACTGGTTTCATGAACAGTTTACAGTCTCTGGGAGTTTTTCTTATGACTTCTATTTAACCATCCGCTACAATTTGGGCAACGACGAACTGTAGTCCACAATCTGTGGCATCCGTACAGCATGTTACCAAGCTACTTATGTCGCCGCTGGACACGCTGCAGATAATTAGCTATGAGAAGGAAAAAGTCCCAATGACAAATCACCAAGGTTTCGTCCAAGGAGGGAGAAAGATACGCTGGACTCGATGTGATGCATAATGAAAACAGTTGCCTGCATCCAGGTTTTTCTAGGCACTTCCATTGAAAATAAATCCCGTCAATGTGTCATAAGTTATTTTGACAGGGAGCAAGAGCCGCATCAGGAAACAGCAGTTTAATGATATATTTAACCTGCCCGTAATTGTTCTCCAACCTGAAACTCTGAAACAATATTAAAAGCTTCGGGCAGGCGTGATGTCAGTTTGATCTACAGTATACGAGATTGGATTCATGTGTGTACTCCGACCTCGTATCCACAAAGCCCGCTGTGCATCAATCACACGACCACTAGTTGTGCAAGTTAAGGGTAAGACAGAGCCCTCGGAGAAAGAAACGAGAATTTTTCAAAATAGAATGTGATGGTAACTGAATATTGCAACATATCCCGCAAGACCGTGAGAAGTACATGCTTTGCATGAAGATGAGTTTACTGTAGAGGCTGGAAAAGAAAAAAGTTACTGTATCTGTCACCTTCTCTCTTGTAGTCGGACTCGAGGGGTGGCAAGCATGCACACAGATGCACAGTGTAACAGCCTTACAGATTTCAGATGGCACACACACACACACACACACACACACACACACACACACACACACACAAATACACACCGACTTCAGTGCATGCCATCTGGCTTCATTGGAATTTAAATGACGTTTGACAAATGCCAAAGCCTTTTGGCCTGTTATTAATTTCCGACCACTGTGTCAAGTTGTTTTCGTTTTACCGTGAATGTAACCACAGTCTTGTGTATGTAACCACTGCAGGTCATTTTTTTTTTTTTTCGTATCTTGTTCATGGTCTCGTCTCAACGTCATTCAGCTTAACTGTTGACTCAGGTCTGCACATAGTGACGCTATAATAAGCAGTCGAGGCTCTCCAAGACTTTTCCAGGAAATGTTGAACTCAAATCACAGGAGGAACTACTAATACGGTGCTTCCTGAGCAAACTTTTGAATATGCACCTTAAAATGGAATTTTTCTTTTCTTTTTTTTTTAATTTATTTTTTTATGGTTAACAAACCAAAATCGAGAAAAATGGTTTTTAATGTAAAATAAAACTGCAGCCGATTACTCGATGGGAAAATAGATGCATCGATTCTAAAAATATTTGATGGTGACAACCCGAAAAATGTTTACAGGACGAAATAGTTCTCATGTCAATGCACATTCCTTCCCTCTTTGGAGTTGCGTTTTACCTGACGTATGGTTCTTGTTGGCACGGCTGCATGTCGTGAGCATGTTATTGAGTTTTTAATGTGCTGCGGGTCAAGATCAATCTCAGGCAGCGAGGAAATGAATGCCGATGCCTGCATGGGGAATTTGGCTTTGTGAAGAGGTTGGAGAGTGACAACACAAAGGGTTTGCCTTTGATTGTAATTATAGTCGCTCTTTGAGGCCTTCTCGAGAGTCACGGGATGGATGTAAGAGGGGTGTGGGCTTTGATTGAGGATGGGGCAGAATGAGGGATGATGGGAAAGGCGGAGTGCAAGTCTGTGTCCATATGCTGCAGGGATGGTGGGAATTTGCAAATGGAATTTTCACCTTGGCCATGTCGCGCTGATGCCTCAGGATGCTGTCCAAGGTTGAGAGGAGCGAAAGAAAAAAAACAAGTGGGAGGGATCACATTACTCTGTCTCAGCCTGAATCACAAGCACATCTGATTATCGACACAAATATGAGGACCTCATTAACCACTCAATGATACGTGTTGCCCAGTAGCGCTAATGCCGCAGATGGGAACAACAGCGAACCGGTGACATTTGAATGTGTCACGAGTTGGGGATTTAAGTATTTGGACCTCCCAAAACACACTTGACATTTTCTTCAATGAATCAAGTGACAAGGTGCTTTATGTTTGAGTCAATACCAATTTCAATGACATTAGATGAAGATAAAAGGCTGTGGAACCAGATACGCCCGTGTTCCAAAGTATCCTGCTAATAGACTAGCTTTGGAGTTCAGGCTTCTAATACGGTTGTCATTTCAGGTGAAAATGTCATCGCAAAAACTCTTCTTTTTCACATTTTTCTTCATTTAACTGTGAATCCTGTGACGCTTTGTGCGAACGGGTTCGTTGAATAATCCAACTTCTGGAAAGAGTAGAGGTTCTTTATTTGGACTGCCATCGCGGTCAGAGATGGAGCGCAAATTCAAAAAAAAAAAATGGAATAAAAAAAACCTACAATTATCAAAATAACCTAAAGATTATTCAGAAAGAGATCACAACTAACAGGAAAAAGTCAACGGAGACAGTGTTCTGCTTCCGGCCCTTTCCAATTTATTATTCATACCTGATGCCCAGTGAAGACAAGCAAGCCAGTCGACTCGTAACCCAGCTGGCCGCATACTGTACAAACACTGTCATCCTGTAGGCAATGCTGGGAGCAACAGAAGGGACAACACAAGACAGGTGGTGGCGACATGTGATTAATTGTTCCTGTAAGGACGCTCAAAACCGCATTGGCCACAAATCACTCCTCCATCTCCCACTCTGCTCTTCCTTCCATCATCTGCCTTGCTCTCCTTCTCCGATTAGGTGTGAAGAATAATTAGCGGGCACCGAAGAGCGCCGTGTGGACTGGAGACTCACGGAAGCCTGGTCACTCTCCTCAGCACCAAATGTCTCTGGGAACACAGCTGCGAGTGGCCCACGCTGCATTCTTAATGAGAATGCACCAAATGTATTCGTACGGTCACTTTACAGAATGCACCCCCCCCCCCCCCCCCCAAAACGTTCTTTGCCCTCT